TCACTGACGTACTGACGTATGAGGAAGCCCTAGCCAGAGTAAACATTTCATCCGTCATTCGTCGATGCTACCTTACAAAATTACGGGGCTCTATGTAAACAACAAAGCGAAAGAATACAGGATTAAGTTTTGGAAGTTTCGGTACTAGTAACGGGCTCGACGAAAATATTGACTTACTGACGGACATCAGTGCTGCTCTGATGCATTCCTTTAGTTTAGCGAAATGGCTGAATTATACTGACTTAATCAATGCTGCATTTATTTTTTCGTTTTCTTTTGTATTTATTGGTGTTTCGTATTCTGTAAGGTAGCATCGACGAATGACGGATGAAATGTTTTACCCTATCTAGGGCTTCCTCATACGTCAGTACGTCAGTGAGTTCGCCACTCCGTCAATGAGTTCGCCACAACGTCAATGAGTTCGCCACAACGTCAATGAATCCTTCGACCGTCAGTGCGTCACGTCAATGGTTTAGTTAACCTGACAATGTTATCGAGTCAGGGCTACCTCATACGTCAGTACGTCAGTGAGTTCGTCACTCCGTCTCACTGACGGAGTGACGGGTGAGGTAGAATTAATTGACAAGGAGCGTGATGTGTGAGAATCGACTAAATTGTTTGAGCCTAGTGGTGATGAATGCCGATATCGTGCACACGATTGATGCTGATGGGCTGACTGATCTGATCGCAAACTTCCTGCAATTGTAATTGTAATCACACCATGACAACTCAATAAAATGAGAAATTAGGCCCTCTACCGTTCGTTTGCCTAAGGCCCAACAAGTCTAAATTCCGCCACTGAATGCCTCTGTTGTATCCGGACCAGTGGCAGAGCCATTTGTTGTACAGGAGGAAAAATGGATTGCACCCCACTTTATTATTATCAAGTTGGAAAAATATTTATACGTTTTTGCACGAAAATATGTGTCAGCATGCACCAAATCGATTCAATTTTTTTCGGAAATTTTCTTTGGAGAACCCTGCATCTAAGGCTTGCGGCCAGGACTTGTTTTATTTTCAAATCAGCCTCGACATTTGTCCCTCAATTCCATGGATTTAAATTCTTGAACGGATTCTTAGGAAATAGAAAATTAAAGTGAGAAAATCTGTTTTGGAGAAAATGATGGAAAAGTTCCCATATCAGACACAATTAATGATAAACCTGGAATAATAAAGAATAAGCCACTACTAAAACTACTATGTTCGATTCTAGTTCTCCTTAGATATATTAAGTTCTCCAGAGTGATGATTGTGATGAGTTGCCAATATAACCTAGCGAACGATGATGAAATTTTGTATCTAGCTAGCACAGCTTATGTTTTGAGTAAAAAATGACATGAGTACACCATGCACTTTTCACGTTCACTTCACGATAAAATGATGATGAAATATCTGTTATTATTGATGAAATTAGTTTACCTTGGTAACGATATTGAGGTAAACAATATTTTAAACACGCTGTTTTCCTCATGATAGCACGTTCATTTCCCGTGGTTTATTTCTAAGTTAAATAATTAAAAGAATATAGACCCTTTCCCCCACAATAACTCCTTTGTTGCCCTACTCATTGATATTTCGTCTTTTTATTTGAATTATTCACAGATTGTTGAATTTGAATACAGAATCTAGAAGAAGCACTTGACAAAAAATAAAGACTTCTATTCGAACATTAACAAAATACACGCCCTGACTTCTTTAGACATGGACTTTGGACTCTACAGAAAACCGGCTTTTTGACATTGGGTGTCTTTTCATAAAAATCGGTGATATATTACAGCTGATAACTCATTATTTGTAAGGCTTCCATGCTGCAAACATCGTTCCAAAATGCAGACGATAATATTCTTTACAATTTCGATGGTAATAGTTTCATCAGACTTTAATTCAAGTAGTGACAATTCCACGGATTTCAGTAACTTTTCAGATTTTTCGGACATGGAAAATAAAAGTGAGGAAATCTATTTTGAAGAAAATGATGGAAAATTTCCCATAGCAGACCAAATAAATGATAAAACTGGAATAATAAAGAATACATCCACTGAGTCTACACCGGAAAGTACGACATCCAGTCATGGATGGACTGGTCTACGAACCCCAAGACCGGATAAGAAATTAAGAGAACTTCAAAAGGAACTGGCTAAGCAGCGTTTGAAACAAAAGGAGATTGAGTTGAGGAAGGTAAAGGCAAAAGAAAAAGAAGCGAAAAGAAGGCATCGCCACGAAAAGAAAGGAAACAAATTAGCAGATAAGAAAGCAAGACAAGAGTTAGAAGATGAAACCTTTTCAGCCAAATTTGGAAGCCTTAAAAACCGAACTATCGCCAAGGAGCACAGGTCAAAGCGAAAACATATCAGTAGAAAATCACAACATGAACGTCCGGAAAAGATAATCCAACATTCTAAAGAGTGTATAGATTGTGACCCCAAAGAAAAAGCTAAACGCATTGAAACATTCCGAAGACAAGTTCTGGAGAAATTAAGAGTAGAGAAAGTTCCATCAAATTACGTTTCCCCACCTCGTTTGCCACCCCAGTATGATCCTGAATATATGCAAGATGAATGGTTAGACGACGGTGATGACAGTTTTTATGCAAAAACCAAACAACTTATAATTCCAGCATCTGACGGTAAGCTTCTTTAATTACTAATTTAATTAATATTAATTATGAGCTGTGAGAAAGTGTTTTAGCCTTTTATTCAAAGAACAACGTTGGTCCGTATCGGACAGACAAACAAATTGGAAAATTTCGAGACTCCATGTGACCTCTTGTAGTAATGTTATGACAGATAATACATAAACGTCAAATTATCTACTGTATGTCATGTATATTTTATTTAAATAAATGATACATCTTGAACAATGACACCTCGTGTCTTAAAGACGTTACGAACCGGACAATCCCAGTTGACCCAATATCTTGCAAAATAAAACAACCGACTTCAGAATTCATATATATGTGTATTACGAAAACATCCTAGGTATTATAATTAGAAGCATCTGGTCACATCCGATTAGCCCAATCACGAGAAATATAAAAAACACGAGGTAATATTATCTGCTATAAGGTTTCTCTTAAAGGGACAGTTGCACCATTTTGGGGGTTGATTTTAATCTTGAGTATATGTAAATATTCTTTAGTAGTACTAGAAATGTACGGAAATCGTATAATTCCTAAATACTTCAAACTAGGAATTCCACTCACTATTTCTCTATATGTCTTTTCTATATATCACAGAGTATCATTAAATGACGAGTCGTCATTTTAACATTAAAACGCAGAAAATTCTGAACACTCATGGATTTGAAAGTTCAAATTTCGACGGTGAGCTGTAAACACTGTTACACATTGGCTTAGTTAAAAATTCCCGTTTCTGAGACTAAAGTATGATTAATCAAAAAAAAAAAAATGGCACACCTGTCTCTTTAAAGTTAACTGATGTTATAACTTCGATTTCCCGTCCCACGTGTATGATTCCTGCAGTTATTCACGAAAAACTCTATCTTAAATCCTTTTAACACTGGGGCATATAGACACAGAAATTACAATGTATTTTCTGTGCAAATGATAAATGAGATGCTAAGATGGCATAATTCATCTCGTGGAATTCTAAGAGGAAAAGTTTTTCAGAGGAAATCGAAATAATATATCAAAACCAATGAGAATTTAACCATGAAATGAGAACTTCGGGTCAGAGCGTTCTCAGAGAATGAAAAGGGAGTAGATAACAGATTTCTTTCACTATTCACGTCAGTCACAGCAAGTGTCCTACTAGTACAGCTATCTCACTTCCTCCTTAAATTCAATAACATGTAATTTGAAGCCATTTAAGTGCAGATTCCTTCGGTTTAAAGAAACACACCCATGTTCCATCTTTGTTTCAATACTCGTCACGTATTTTAATTATGTGTCAAAGAATGAACCTTTATCAGTCGGTAAGCAATTAATATATCTTTTAATTACACTGAAAACTTTTTGCATTCCAGTTTCTCACCATTGTGCACCAAGGCATGCAACTGGCTGCTATCATTTCGTTTTGAAAAGAAAAATCACTGGTTATATTACATCAGCAAAACTCTGGATTTTTAAAAACAGAGACCAAAACGATAAACAGCAGTCTTTTACCATATCAGAATTAGAGCCAGATACAAGATACGATCACACCAAACTAAGACCAAAGAACATTGTAGATAGAATCGAGACTGACGTTAAGAAAGGCTGGCTGCAGTTTAACATGACTTCAAGCGTCAGGAAGTGGTTAGAGAAACCTCACATGAACCATGGTTTCTCTGTCCGATGCAAGACCTGTTACTATAGAAAGCATCGTGTGTTATTTGGGGCTAAAGAAGGATACCGCCCAGTACTAGTAATCCATCTGGGAAGAGATCGAGGACGACGAGGTAGAAGAAGTATCGACTGTACCCCCGGAGAAACCTCTTGTTGTCGCCAACAGTTTTATATATCATTTGAAGATATTGAAAACTTCGTCCAGGTGCTGGAACCTAAAGGTATATGGGCCAACTATTGTACTGGTTCTTGTCACGGTTAGTTGTTGTTTTTATTTGTACTTCAATTGGGAAAAATTCATACGGCACACAGAAGTAGCCGGGAAACCTCATTTCAATCAATTTAATAACACGCAAAATCGTTGTCTGTTTTGGCTGAAGCACAATGTGAACATATAAAATAGCTTTTGGGCCCGTATGCACGAAACATGTTAAGTGAAGACAGCTTCCCAGGCAAGGTAATATACGCACACTGGCGACTTTGATTTTAAATCAAAATATTTGACAGTACAGTAACAATTACCAGTATGATATATTCAACCTTCAGACATAACTTCTTTTGAACTTTTTGAGGCTGAATAATATTACCAAGTTTCATCTAAATCTGTCAGGAATTGAGCCTTCTAGAATGTTTACAGACTAAAACTTGAACGCGTTTGCAATAACTCATACTAAATATTTTTCGATAGGGTTCATCCTTGGGTGTTTACATACACTCACACCAAGTTTCGTCAAAATCTGTCAAGAATTGTGCCTTCTAGAGTGTTTACGAGCAACTGTGGACGGACGGACGAATGGACATGGGTGACGACCATATACGCCCTCCATTCCATGGATATCCTTAGAATCTTCCTTAGGTTCTATCTCGATTTAAGTGGTATGCATAGTGTCTTAAGATAAAAATGTTCTAAAAGATGTCCCTATCTTAATGGTACCTATTCTGTCTTCATAAGAGGAAAATCTTTCCTAAAGTCAGTGACCTTCACTGGTTTGATCTCACAATGGTTGCCGTCCTAGCTGGGAGTGTTAAGGTAGAGTAAGCCGAACAAATTTGCGACCGTGAGAACCCTGTGGGTATCTGCAATGAACAAGAGTTGTACATGATATTTTGCTTTGACAAAGCTGGATTCTCTTCTTTGCTCTTAGGTATTATGCATCGGAGTATCCAACAGGTTACTTCAGACACTAAAGATACGAGTGTGACGGAGAAACAATTAAAAGATACACCAAAGCACAGTACATGAGTATGTCGGATTGTCCATGAGTTACCTGTGCTCTTCTCGTATGCTTGTTTACACTTGCTTGGTCTTGTTTTAGTGGTACCAAAGACATCTTTTCATGTACAATTCACAATGTTCTTAATAATAAAATAATTCCATACTGCCACTTTTAACGCCTCACATTGGTGAAGCTTATACAGTTGACTGTTGATACCCAAGGTGTTAATATGAGATGTTAATTTTCTACTCTCCAGGAAAAGTGATAAATCTTTTATGTTTCTAATTTCAGAACCTACAAATGCTCATTATAATCACACTTCTTTAATTCAAGCCATGAGGTGGAGAGCTGGAACTGTGAACGAAACCTTTATGGAAGAAATAAAACCGTGCTGTTCCCCTATAAGTTATTTGACTAAATCAATGTTAATAATTGAACCCAGTGGAGATCTGAGTTACAATGAAATCCCCAATATTTCGGTTCAGGCGTGTGGATGTGTGTAGTAATAAGCTTATTGTGCTGATACCAATGAAATCATGTGATGTGTTCATACCCTTTAATGTCTCAATGCGATGTGAATTTCTGGAACATCTCATACTACACGTAACCGACATGCATCGAAACACTGCTCTTGAAATTAGCTGGCTGTATAAAATGGCATGTTAAAAGGTCTGCTCTCCCATACTCTCTTGCAATTTCTGTCTAAATTCAACGATCAAGCCGAAAAACGAGGGCTGTTAAACTTTGGTGCTATATCTATTGAACACTGGAGATCTGACACCGATGATGTGACTGTAGCCACCAATTTCCATCAGCCCAACTTAAACAAAATAATACTCATTACAACTGATTTACTGCATTTCAAATGTGAATTAATTCAAAATGCTAATAGCACTTTATATTTATAATAATTATGGCAATTATCCGATTTATGATCTATTTCGCGTCTCATAAAATAAGACTTTTGTTATCATTTTATCAATGCAATTCCTTACGTATTATACATTATAAATCAATGCATTATAGTTAGTCTATTTTTATTTTTGAACGAAACATATACCTTTTGTTTAATAAATATTTTTGAACCCATCCCATTTTCATTTGTATTACGGCAGGAAAAACCGATGTTATTCTTCTGTTCAGCAGTAAATTGCGATATATCTTTTGGGTTGGTGTCAGCTTGAACTTACGTGCTTTTCTCCATATAAACTATTGCTATGTCTGGTCACAAACGATTGTGAATGTATCATTTTCCCATTAAAAATTGTATATTGTGTGGTCTATGATCATATAAAACATACCAAGAGAAACTCTTACTAATAAGATACATGTTGTAAATCATTCTATGCACCATAAAGAGAGAAGCACTTTAATAGTAATAATCAATGAAAAGTCTTTTGAAGTTATAATAGAAAACAATCAGTAACAAACAAGAGCTATAAATAATCAATTTACCGTTACCCTTACTTAATTAAGTTTAAGTTGGTTTTATCAAAGATGTTTTCAGTCCCTTTTTTCTTTTCAAATATGCATGACTAAATTATATATCAATCCAATGCCATTTTTGTGAATTATAGAAAATGACATCATAGCAGTGTATTTTAACCAAAAGAGCTAAAACCTTACCCCACACAATTATTGAAAAAATAAGTTAACCCATCACCATTGCAAATAATTCTTCACGCACTGTTATAAAACAACAGCACCAGCCTCACAACGACTGCTGGGCATATTAGACATTTGCACCCATTTATTACTAGAAGGATCATAACATTCCATGGAATCTGTGGTGATGGGAGCTGAGTATTGGTCTGGGTAATAACGTCCACCAATAACATATAATAAACCATTAACTCCAATCACACTGGGTCCAGCTCGTTTCATAGACAGTGGAGGTACTACTGACCATTCATCCTTTAATACAACACATATTTCTTTTCGTTTTTTAAGGGAAATGAAATAAATAAGAAGCATTGTATAATTGTATGAATGCATTTGCATACCTGCCACTGTCTGTCATTGAATTGGGGTGACCAGATTACAGGCAATTTGTACATAGTCTCAGAACAATTTGATCAAAACTGTAGCCTTTGTCTTGAATTAAGAGATAGCAAGATGGAATAAATTATGCCAATATATAAAAACATCAACATACAAGTGTATTAAAGGCACTTACCAATGATAAAGAGTATTTTTGTACAGTATTTAAAGGACCTTCATGTTCATTCCACCCTCCTGCTACATAGATATAATCATCAATAGCAGCAGCTCCAATATAGGCTTTACGGGACGGCATATTTGATAATCTCATCCATTCTTTAGTCACTGGATTAAAACTATCAATAAACTTTAATTCTGTTCCCATCTCACTCAACCCTCCTATTACATAGATTAAACCTACAAAATATAAATACATAATCAAATTAAATAATGGTACATAATTTCATAGTAAACCATAATTGTGTTTAATTGTATTTAGGTAATGTCTAATTATTGGGCTAAGCAGTTGATAAAGCTTAATATAAGCTTTTTACATCACTCTTTACACATACATTAAATGGATCTGAATAACCATGAACAATTGAATATAATGTTTTACAATTTTTGTCAGTGTGCTTAGGAAATTTGACATAAAAGGAGAATTCTTAGTGGATAAGGATTTCCAAGAGTGTTACCATAGAGAGGTTAATACTAGAATGAGGTGAAATATTTCTACTCAACAAATGAAGTAAAATACCATACCTTGATGTTCTATAACAGCCATACCAAATCTTGGTGTCGGTAATTTACCCACAATACACCAATGGTCGATATCAGCATTATATTTCTCCACAGTATCTCCTATTACAGAGCCAATCCAACCTCCAAATGCATATAAATTATTTCGATAGGCACATAAACCTAATCCACATCTTGGATCTGTCATAGTTCCCAGTTTCGTCCATTTTTTCTCATCTGGATCAAATATTTCCACAGAATCATGAATCAAGGAATCATTTTCACCACCTGCAACATATATTTTACCATCTAATACTGCTGCGCCTAATCCACTCCGAGGGTTTCTCATACATGGTAATGACTGCCATTGTTTATGGAAGGTATCAAATCTTTCTACAGATCGCAATGTATGCATATCACTCCAGCGATCCCCACGTTTACGACAATATCCTCCAATGATATAAATATTTTTTCTTGCACTTAATCTAGGTTGGAGCATCATAGGATTAATTTTGGAGAGCTGAAGTTCTAAACACATTTTCCGCGACATTTTATAGTCTTGGATAATTTTCTGAATAGCAATTTTCAGGCTAATATCTTCACACTCTTCAATGAATTTTTCCAGAAATTTGTCAGAAATTATTGGAAAACGTATCGGCACTAAAATATCAAAAACTTCACGTCTCCTTGCTATTAAGTCATGTTGAATCCATCTGATAGCTGCATTAAAGGCCTGAGTTTCATTCTCAATACGAAGATTCTCACTTGATAAGAAATGTATCAAGGTCTCTTTTGGTAACTGTAGAAATTCCTCACAGTGGACAACCTATAATATCAAAACGTTTTAGATATATGGAACTACCATGACAAATATATGTAGGCTTAGGTATATATAAAAAAATATCTTAGTGTCTTGTCTTACTTCACCACAGAAATATGTAGAAAACATTGTACCACACTACAGAGAATGTGTAAGCTTACTGTTGGATTTATAGATAAACCAAGAACCACTAGGTATTTCGTACAAGATCTAAAGGACATTACTGCAGAATTTAAGACAAATGATATACATCTAAAATCTCTTGGATTAAGTACTATTTAATATTGTTGAACTTCATGTGTTCTTGATATCTGAAGTTCTAAATGTAAAGAAAGGACAACAAGAGTTAACCCAGGTTATAATATCCCATTAAATACCTGAAGGAAATGTTTCCGTATAAAAGATTCTGCAGCTCTTTTTATATCATAACAAGCATGAGCTTCACAAAATAAATAAATACCTAAAATAATTCATATTACAGATCATCTTAATGATAAAGAAATAGCTGCCACTATGACGCTTTTCAAACCAAAGATCTAAAGCTGTTTTTTTTTCTCAGAAATACTTGATAGTTCATTCCTGAAACTTTTGTCAGCAACAATTGTCAATTGTATAATTCAACTAAAAAAGAAAAAGTGTAAACATTGATTAACAATAATTTTGTTGTTCAAATGAAGGTTAGAAATCTCTTAAAGTTCAAAAATTTATATGTTCATACTCAAGTAGGCTACTGGTATTATTCTGACAGAGAAAAACATCTTACCTATACAGTTATCACAGTTTAAATGTTGTTGTAAGAATTGACCACATGCTTCTGTAACATCAGTTAAACCTAACATATCAGATGTGGCCATTAACTCTTGCACATTGTCTAAGGTAATTTCTATTATGCCTTAACAAAAGAGAAATTCAAATAAAGATAAAAGAGATACTTTGTAATTTATTGTTTGGTTGTCCTAAAAATTGTCCAAAAGCAGACGCTGCCTTTCGTAGGTGTAGATATAGGCGACTTTAAGACAATTGGCCCTGTATTCTTGAAACGATCTTAGAACTAGGATATCCTAGAAACTGGAAACCCTAGAACATCCTAGCGTAAGATCATTTTGAGAATAAGCAGCCTAGTGTTGATTACTACTCTAAAATTTTACAACTAGGAATCTTTACGACTAGGAATAAGACTTACTTACCAGAATAAATAAACGATAATAATCCTTGTAAGATCTCTTTATCTACACCATGTAGAGTAATCTCTCTTTGTTTCTCCTCTGTCATACCAGACATAAACATTGCTTTGAAAAATGAACTGGAAGCAGCCAAAATATGGCGATGGGCATTGAAAGTAACTTCGCATACAACAATACTGACATCACAATATAACCCATCATTCCACAGTTGACAAAGATTCTTCAACAGAAATTGTGGATATGATTCCACAAAGTGGGAAACATTATCTCCCTTAAATGGTCTCGTATCAAAACTATCAGTGTTGCTAGGTTTGCGTGACATGTGTTTTGTGACAGCCACTGCCATCTTTAGGTTGTCACTAGTCTTGAAGCTGCATTAATCTAAAATAGAAAATATTAAGCTTACTCCAAAAAGAAACTGGTATTAATATTCCAGTAACCATATCTACACTATTTACAATTCAGTGCTAAGTTTTATTTGTTTAATTTTCAAATTCTAATGGGGTCGGTTTGAGGAGAGTAGTCTAGAAGTAGAAGCCACAGAATTGTCAAGGGGAATGGGGTCTCAGCAGCAATACTTTCAGCGTGTAACATAAGAAATTTGAGGATGGGGGTTCAAAGCAATTAATTGGATTGATTGAACTGATATGTCAAAATGAGTCTTTCCACTATGATCTGACACCCCGCTTAGTAACCTTAGTCACATGAAGCTAATTTTGACAAAAGAAAGAATTCATAGACATGGCATAGGTACAAGAGGGTCGATAAATATAAGCACTTTATAAGAGCAAAGCAAAGTTAGGGGGAGGACCGGCTTTCAGAATTTAAGCTACAGATACAGGATGGATAATTAATATGAGCAGTAATTGGACTAAAATTTCATTTAGCAATGTTTAGTTTCGCATTTAACCATGATGTCCATTACAGATTATTTATAAAATCAATAAAAAACGTTAAGGCCTACGATTATCAATTATATCAGAAAGTTTGAGAAATTTCTTGTTTACATCTATACACTCTTTTTTCCTTCGAAATGAAGAGTAAAGAGGGGAGCTTATTGTAAAATCTAATGTTAAACTTATTGACTACAATTCAATATACTAGGTTCGTTCAGAGCCGTATATAAACGGCTCTGGGTTCGTTCGATTAGATGGTAACCATCTGCATTTAGTCACTAATCAAAACCGCATGATGGTGTTTCCTGTTTATCATACCACTGACAAGAGTTTCAAGGTCAATTTATAATAAAGCTCTCAAGCAAAGAGACATTGATTGGTCCCTTTCATTCGTTGTGAATATAAATTTGTGGATAATATACTATTCATTACATGTAATTAAACTCATCAAAATATAATGAATAACTCAACACACATTGGGTTAAAATACGGGTAAAAGGTATTATGGTCAGAGTAATACGGGCACAAGGTATTATGGTCACAGTAATAAGGGAACAAGGTATTATGGCAACAGAAATATATTACAAGGTATTATGGCCACAGTAATAAGGAAACAAGGTAATTTGGTCACAGTGAAGGGCACAAGATAATTAGATCACATTAATGAGAGGCACTGAGAATTCCTGGAATAACCCATAATACCTTGCGCCTGTTTTACTGTAACCATATTTTCGGTGACCAAATTTCCTGTGACCAAGTTACCGTGCACCAACAGATTCAATGAGGGACAACTGTCTAGGCTGATTTCGGAATGCGGCAAATTGAATTATTTTGATGCATTCGGACACATATTAAGGGGCAAAAACGAATAAAAATCAAAATCTAATTTGCCAAAAAATTAAGTGGAGGTACAAAGCTGGGGTGCAAACCATTTTTCTTTTGGAGAGGGGGTGGGGGAGTCCCCACTCCCACTGTTTAAAATTCAAGATGAGTCTGAGGTACTATTTCTGATGTGAACCAGATCCATTAAAACTGTGTAAAGACATCACTGTGCTCGGAGACCATTTAATTGTAAGGTAATTTCCAATGTAAGCATATGTATGGTTTTAGACCATTTGAGCGAGCATGTCCTAGTAAATGCCAAAATTCAATATTAGACTTATAAACTATACAGTCGAGTAACCTAATTTCGTGGAAACCTATTATTCGTGGATTTCCGGAAAGGTCAAATTATTAATCATTTACATGAGCGACCTAGCGCGACCTCCGCATTAGTTTGTTTTAATAAACATGGGTTTTCTCTACAATATCAGCTAGTAGAATGAATCCAGTAGTTGCAAGCAAGGTAAAATGTATTAATGTATACTTTGACAAATACAAAATGGCGGATTTCAGTTATTACCAAACATCACCATTTTTTATCGGCCGAATTTCCTTATAATCCCTAGCCGTAATCGGAATTCCAAGTGTCGTCTGCTAAAATGTAGTCCAACGAATGAAGTCACGTGATCAAGTAGCGGATTCCGTGTAAGCAGAAAATTTCTATGGAACACAAAGTTTCAGTGACTTTTAGCAATAAATCACGCTACGTATCTTATTTTGTCAGTCACTATTTTTTTTTTTAAATCGTGGTTCTTTGAAGGAATTGTCACTAGGTATAATGAATTGATATTAAAGATAAATACTAAGAGAAGTTAATTATACCACCCGGTATCCATACAACGTGTTTTTCTAGACTTATTTATAGTTCAAACATTGTACACGAAAATAGGTGACGCATTCTGCCGCCGTTGCCGAGTCGGTTGCTCATGAAATATGGGTCAAAGTGAAGAATTCATAAAGAAAATCGAAACAAACCAATTTCAGTTATTTTGTAGAATATCTGAGGAAACATCTAAGACATAAAAAAAAATTTTAGTTTTTTTAACTTTGACGAAATTCGGTGTTGAATCCTTATATCCACGAAAATAGGTTACACCACTGTACTTCCATACCAGATGTCATGTTGATTGAATATATTTTTCAAATGATGATGAAAATGAGAGTTGTAAATTTTATTGATAATGGGGGTAAAAATGGATATAGACAAAAGAAAATGATGTATCAAAAGAAGAAAATATGCATCAATGGACAATTATCACAGATATCTTTAAAGGCTGTACAAAAAATATATATTTCAAAGTTACAAACAGTTAAGTTATACACTTTCAATTAGAAATATAGATATATAACAAAAACATCAAAACAATAAATATCACACAATAATCAGCAATGGGTAGTGCTAAAGTCGATTATTAACTTTTTTCCATTCTCAATATTGCAAACAAATAGGCCTAAGTATAATAAAACACAAATAAATTGGTGCAACAAAAAACTTTGATATAATGTTCTCAAGGGAAGTCTGGTATCATTTCATATCATTAACAAAGATTTGATTTACACAGTGCATATACAAGCTTATTTGCTTTCATTGAGTTCAACAGCTTCTTCTACAACAGTTGTAGCCTGAAAAAGAAATAAGACACACGTTTTAATCATCTTAATTTGAAAAAATCCCTGTCAACAGTTAAGGCCTAATTATACTGACCGCGACTTTTCGCGTTTCCTTCCGTCTGGATCATTGTTCGTATTGAAAGCAGCGTTATGCTCATAAATTCGCCGATGAAACGAGCTAAGAGTGAATTGGCCGACAGGGAATGAACTTTGACCTCACACTCTGATTGGCTAATGTAAATAGTTTGCGCGGACTTTTCTCAAAAATTCGCTCTGGAGGCTATCTCCTCAGTTTTCAGCGGGACCAGAAATTCGGCCGCATTCGCGTTCGCACCTAGTATAAACAACCTCATACAAAATCCGGTTAAGCAATCCAATGCAAACGCTCGCGCGGTCAGTCGTCATAAACAAACCTTTAGGGCTATTTGAGATCTAGATGATTTTTTTTTTTGAGAGAAAAACACTGAGGCTTAAAGATGGTTTCCTTATTTTTTAGTGTCTAATTACGCAAACTATTTGATTAATTGGTGTTTTTAATGAATCACCATGTATTCTTAATCATATCATTATGTTCTTATTGCATATAATAAAGAGATTTAACCAATCATAAATGTCCATGTATGTACAGTCTGGATAAACAAAAAAATACTTTTTGACCTTTCTTGGTCGGTCACTCATTGGAATTCTGCTGGTATTTCTCTTCTAATTTAGCTAATTTGAGACGAAGTGGTATTTTTCCAAGTCATTAGAATACCTTTACTTTCTATTAATATAAATATTACCATTTTCATAAATGAAAATAAGGAAACCCATCTTTAACCTTGATGTTACACAAATATATCAATAATATTGAGAAAATCTCTTCTGTTTAAGCAAATTCTTGATTGTAATTGCACTGTCTGATAATAATTTATCTTTATATTTTTGTTATCAATGCAGATGTAATAAACCAACTGAAAGCATGACAAAAACCTAGCAATTCACAGAATGCCAACCATTTACAATGGAAGTATGTCTTAGGCAAATACTATGAGAGCTTGCTCACAATTGTTGGAACAACATGAAAACATTTTGACCTACCCAGACATAAAAGGTAGCGGCGCCAGCAGAGACATCTCGTACAGCATCTAATTCATATTTATCAAGTAAAGTTTTTACTCGTTTAGCTGCTGGTAATGGAATAGTACTAGCTTTTAACTCTAAACATTTTCTCTTTACACTCTCTTTACCAGTCTTACCAACGAGCGCCTGTACTGCTTTCCAGTCCTATAATTCAACAAGTGATAGGAATTATACTTCAGTTGTGACATTCTTATTCCTATTCATTCTAACATATAGGCACATTTTTAAGAATGGCATATGTCACTGTGTACCATGTCTTTGTACATATCTGTATCCCCAAAATTATAATATTCAGTACCTTAGTTTCTTTTTCTTTATGTCCTAAAGCCAGGAAGGTGGCTGTCATGACTGTATGAACTATGGCTGGTGGATTTTGATAACTTCTGATCTCTGCAACTGTAGACTGTTTCAACTCTAATATTTCATGTCGAATTCGTTCCAGTCGTTTTAACCTCACCAACACTTTGTTAGCCTCAGACATCTCACTTGCCAGTTGATTTTCAAAACCATGGTGCTTAACAAATGTCATAGCTTTTTCTAACTCTTCTAATTCTCTCTTGGACATTGCTTTATGCAGATCTGAAAGAATAAAATATATTGATTAGTCTTTTTTAAGTATTATTTTATCAATGAGGTGGTGATGCCTGAGTCTGTAATTGTCAGAGTTGTAATTTCTGAAAATAATATGCCAGGCAATGAGCAATGAGAGGAATGTTCCATGTCAGTGTCAATTCATTCAAATTCTACCGAAATTGCAGTTTTAGCCTTGAAAATCTGAATGTTAAAGAACACCATATTTAAACTTCAAGATGCTTTTCTCTAAATCAGCTTCTCAGGTTTGAATGACAAACGCCAAACTTTGAGATTAGCAAACATTTTCTGAGATTGTTGAACTGTGCCAGAGTTTTCTGAGCCTGTTGAACAGTGCCAGAGTTTTCTGAGCCTGTTGAACAGTGCCAGAGTTTTCTGAGCCTGTTGAACAGTGCCAAGGGGTTTCAAGATCAAATGAAATAACTAGACTTGTATGAAAGATATCTTACTGTCTCCAGCTGTTAATTCTTTCAATAATCTTTCAGCCTTAGCTAAATCCATTTCATCATCATTCATACCAGACTTTTTAAACTCAGTTACAGAATATTCTAACTGGAATTTATCCCGAGATTTTATGGCTACTTTCAGTTGATATTTAATTCTCTTATTCTTACTTTCTACAAGAAAAAAATAAAACAAATAATTACAGTGAAAATGAAAAATACCTCCTATCATTTCAGGCTATAGAAAACCAAGTCATTCTTCGGCTGTAGTTGATAATAAAGTTGTTTATATTTTCTACTTCTTTGCTTCTTTTGTGACCTGAGATATCCTTAGGCTATAAAAAAACTTTTATCATTATCAACTAAGGATCCTTATGTTGTGAATTAAGTAACTTTTAACCACTTTTTTGCAACAAGTAATTTTTTCATCCAATATTTTTATGGATAATGTTTAAAATATTTTAAGTTTTTGTGTTATATACTCAAGGTATCTGTTCTTAAACCTCAAGGTAACAATTAATCTTAAAGAATCCTATACCTTTGTGTAAAATTTTAGCTTTTTTCTCAGCCTCATCTAACTCTTTTCGTTTTTTCTCATCGTTTTGTTCTTTCTTTTTATTTTTCAACCTTTTTAATTCTTCTTCTGCTTCCTTCTCTTCTTTTTCGGCCATCTTGAAATTTAAATATGAAGAATATGATTATTTTGTTTTATGACAAGATGTTTTTATTTCTACACGGTTCTATTGTTAATCTTTATCTTGTTTATACTATGACCAATGATGTCACAAAACAAAGTCAAGTAGACTTCAGAAAGATTAATATTCTTGAAGGTAAAAAAGGAATTCTCTATATAAATGGGTAAATAAGTTTTTTTGAATCTCATTTGCTGGAATGATATACCAATGATATATGGATTATATAATTTCATCTAAAACACAACAATGCAAGTAAATGTATCAAATACTGTGACTTACTATCTTGCAAAATAATAGGTTTACTCCAGCCTAGAACTAATAATCTAGTTTGAAGGCATTTCCTAATTGAAACAAAAAGTTCAGTTTACCTTTTTCCATTTATCAGCATCTTTGTATTTTTCTTCTTCTTCTTTTCTCTTCCTTTCATTTTCTTCTTCAATTTCTTTCAATCTTCTTTGTTCTTCCTGCAATACAATAATGATTTGCCAAGTTGAACATTAACTCATCTTAAAAGGATTAGAAAGATTTCAGCTGGACAAGCTCAGAGAGCATTGGAAATTGATTTCATCAAAAATCAAACAATAAGTATGCAATTTTGAAAAATTGATTTTATTTCAGATTTAAAGTAACAAAATAAACTTCAAGAACCTATTTTAAAATTTTACCTCTTCAGCTTTTCTCCTTCTTTCCTCTTCTTCTTGTTTTTCTTTTTCTAGGGAAGATATACAGAATTTACATTTTCAGCTCTAATACAATAAATGTCTAGCAACTAATGATCACTCTTCATTATACCTCACCATGGCTTTTGTCATTATGATCCAAAACATGCATGCCCCTTCATGTCATGAACAATGATGCATTGATTTACAGGTCTGTCAAATGTGCAGCTTGTCACACAATTGATATATGTTTACTTCCCCATAGTAACAACATGATCCAAAATTCATTCGCTAAAAATATTGTTACCTTCCTCCTCTTTTTGTTTTCTTCTCCTTTCTTGTTCTTCTCTTTCCTTTTCCTACAAAATACAATGTTTGTGTTGATGTGATGCAAATAAATGTTAAGTTTTTTAATCAATTGACTTAAGACATTTGTTTTACAAAATTAAAAAAGATTAATTTACCAGTTCTTTCTTCTTTCTTTCTTCATCTCTAAGACGTGCCAGTTTTTCAGCATGTAGTCTGGCAGCTTCTTCTAATTTGCGTTGTTTTTCTAATTTATCTATAAAAGAAAAGTATATATCAAGCTTTGTATCTTTTCTGTCACATTTCTTGACTTGTGGAATAAATGTTGTCTTTTGCATTATGATAAATTAACAAATGTCATTTTTTCAGCATTTCAACTGATCTCTTAAAGGGATTGTTAAGAGATTTTCTAGATTTTGTATGTGTATTGTATGATAGTATCAATTTGCAACATTCCAATTTTGAATCAGACGTCTGTGATTCCAGCAATTTTATTATAACTAAGTGTTTTATGACGTTACAAATTACAACGGGCCATCTGTGATAAAGCATATTTTGTGATTAGTGACTTCATCAAACAATTAGTTTTAGATGAATTGCAGGAACCACAGACATCTGATCGAAGATTGGAATGGTACAAATTAATGCAATCAGTGTCCTCAGAAAACCTCTTTACAATCCCTTTTGGAAGTAATAAACTCTACCAGATGAGCTTTTTACAACAGAACAATTTAAAATCTTGTCAAAGTCACACCTTGTTTAAGTTTTTCCTCTTCTTGCCATTCTTCTTCTAGATCTAATCTATTTGGTATGTTACACAGCATCACTTCTATTTCAGGGAAGGTAACTCCACTGCCAGGCACCAGACGACGGAGAAGAAAATACTCCCAATTTCTGTTTGAGTAAAACTCACGATGTACACATTGTGCCAACCATCTGGAAATAATGAAAATATGTTAGGAATTAACTCCAATTCACAACAATTAAAACTGTCTTCAGACAGCATTAGCTCTTTGCAATTTGCACTGAACAATATAAAAAATTTGGCTTGAAATAGGGACATTAAAGATAAATTGCCTTGGCATTCTTTCATAGCCAGCAGTAATATTACAAATTAAGAATTACACTACAAAATCAATTCCTAAAAATACATAGTTCATGATGTAAAAAGTGTGCATACTTTGCTTGTTCTTCTGAAATATAATCACACTTTTCTCTATCTAAGAATGAAAATTCCCAGCGTAAATTTTGTAGTAAGAAATATCTTCTGTCCATCTCTTGAAGTAAATCAAACAATTCAGACATGTCACAATTTTCAGTTGCACAAACATAATTGATGGCTGCCTTCACCTGAAACCAGAAGCCAATAATATTTTGGTATCATAAATACTTAGTTTAGTTACATAGATATAGAATGACAATTTGCCAAGCAACGTTATATATGGCATATTTGATTTTGAATAAAAATATTTGGCAGTATATAGTAACAATCACCAGTATGAAATATTCATAGTCATACACTTCTTTTCAACATTTTGGTGTGATACTTTACAATATTACTAGGTTTTGTCAATCTTGCCTTATAGTATTTTTATGAGCTAACAATTGAACGTGTTTTCAAGAAACAGGGCAATAACTCAATCACTAGTACTAAATATTTTCCAATTTTTCTGATTTTCAATAGGGTTCATCCTTAGATTTACAAACAATCACACCACATCAAAATCTGTCAAGAATTAAGCTAGAGTGTTTACCAGCAATTGTGGACAGACAGATGGACATAGTTAATGCCAATATACGCCCCCCCATTTCATGTGGATGTTTACAAAAAGGAATATGAGGTTTCCTTTAAGCAAATCTCAATTTTACATAGTACTGATTTAATACCAAATTGTTCTGAACAACAGTTTAACTAAAGTTAAAGCTCTGTATAAATCATCTTTTTGACCAGGTTTAACTTAATATCGCATGTCTAAATAACAATGACACATGGACAATCTTTCAGTCGATGAACATATATTTATCTGACAGATTGTAGGTGGCAGTAAATGTAATGTAATGACTTACTTGTGGTATACTGATTCCTCCTATACGCAAATCAGCATGTAAAACTTGTAATTGTTCGGGGGTTAAATCCCCTGAGCTATCAGCAACATATTGTTCAAATACTTCTTTGATTATTGATTGGCGGTTGTCAATTCCTACTTCTCCCATCTTAGAGCTGAAAATCATATATAAAAGTTTCTCAAAGACAACTCAGGCTATTTTTATAGGACATGGACCAATGTTAAAGACGATTTAAATCACTTTTCATTAGATCAATTTGTAGACATTAATGCTAATGCTTCCTTTAACTTTGACCCTAACAATATATTTGTAGAAACATTTATGGTCAAATTTTCAACATATTTTGTTGAAATTGACAAAATTTGCACTTCACGCATAAAAATGAAAATAACTAAAATTTCTCTGCCTTTTCCTTAAAGCCATCAATAATTTGAATGGCCGTCTTTTATTGATTTGTTGATTCCATATATATCATATCCTGAACGTGCAGAACTCACTAACTGATTTCATATACATGCCCATTTTTTAAAGCTCACAAATTGAGTAACCTAATTCACTAAAAAGTAAACTGCTTCATGGTGGCGCTGCGAATCGCGGATTGTAAAAATGGCCAAATGACAACCCCAAAAAGTAGGAGTTCTATTACAGGCTACTACAGGCACATGTAGTAAACATGTCAATCTTGGCATTTTTATAGAAAATATAATAAATTGAAAAGATGACATAGCCAGAAAAGTGTGTTAAAATTCGATTTCGCATATGAGGCCCCATTGGGAATATGTTTTAGGTTCATATCTTTAATTTTTACAAAAAATATCTGCATTTAAACTTTGCCAAGAAGGTGAAATATCAATTATTTGATCAAGTCTACTTTCACTTTATCATTAGTCCTATTTGGTATACTGTGTGGGTGTTTAGCATTTCAGATTTGGGAAAGTAAGAACTCATGATGTGATTATGAAATTATCTGTTGACTTTAAATTAATTTATAATTAAGTTACATGTGTTATAAAACAGTTTTAATCTTCTAATGACTAGTTCAGTATATCACTTGTAAAATGAGTGTGAAGAAATCATACAATAACTACCATATTTGTCCAATATTTACCCATTCATCATGGAATATCTCAAAGACTAATCAAGATATTTTAATTCTGTAACTTTTATCAATGAGAGGAGATATGAATATTTTTCCATTTAAAATTTCAAGAAGTTATCTTCAAAAATGACCAAGTTATGCTATTGGGTTGTACAGTCAAGTAACCTAATTTCGTGGAAACCTATTATTTGTGGATTTCCGGAAAGGATTAATAATTTACATGAGCGACCTTGCGCGGCCTCCGCATTAGTTTGTTTTGATAAACATGGGTTTTATCTACAATATCAGCTAGTGGAATAAATCTAGTAGTTTCAAGCAAGGTAAAATGTAATAATGTATACTTTGACAAATACAAAATGGCGGATTTCACTTATTACCAAACGATACCATTTTTTATCGGCCGAATTTCCTTATAATCCCAAGCGGTAATCGGAATTCCAAGTGTCGTCTGCTAGATTATATTCCAACGAATGAAGTCACGTGATCAACTAGCGGATTGCGTGTCAGCAGAAAATTTGTATGGAACACAAAGTGGACCGTATTCAGTGACTTTTAGCAATAAATCACGCTACGTGTCTTATTTTGTCAGTCACTATTTTTTTTTTTTAAATCGTGGTTCTTTGAAGGAATTGACACTAGTTATAATGAATTGATATTAAAGATAAATACTAAGAGAAGTTAATTATACAAACCCAGTATCCATACAACGTGTTTTTCTAGACTTATTTATAGATCAAACATTGTACACGAAAATGAGTGACGCATTCTGCCGCCATTGCCGAGTTGGTTGCTCATGAAATATGGGTCAAAGTGAAAGATTCATAAAGAAAATCGAAATAAACTAATTTTAATTATTTTGTAGAATATCTGAGGAAACATCTAAGACATACATTTTTTTTTTAGTTTTTTTAACTTTGACGAAATTCAGTGTTGAATCCTTATATCCACGAAAATAGGTTACACCACTGTATATCAACGAAAAAGAGAACAAATTTCATTTGCCACGCCCACTTAAAAGGCAGTAAATATTGCATATTTTTTTTCAATATTTTTTGGTTCTGTTTTCACTCTTTCTAACTACTAGTGCAATATAACCAATCTACAAAAACAAATTATTTTTCTTTAATTATTTCAATTTTCCGTTTGCATTGTTAAATTTAAATCATTACGCCCTACCTACCGGTGGATTTAGGGCATGATGGAGCATATAAATATCTTCAAAAAAATAGTCAACACCAGACACAACATTTATCAATCATATCATTTCTACAACTCACCTAAATACAACTAATTTCAAAAACAAATATCACTTTTCATAAAATAAACAACATTTGCCAGCCATATTGACACAAAAATGATTATTTGTCTATTCACACCAAAATTCCGCGTAAACTACCAAGAAAAAAGTCCTGGCGAGAACTTTCATATAGCATAATCACTTTTAAGTTTAATTTTCTAGAATACAAAAGTCTCTGTGATAAATTTTATGCAAATATATATCAGGACATTTCCATATTGATTGAGATATATTTTCGTTTTAATAGCCTTCAGCGAACAATTCGTGCGAATAGACAGAGAGATTGCACTACATCTCCAACGAACACCTGTTATAAGATCATTTATAGGCTGAAATAAATAACTAATCAAAGCCAACGTCACATATTATGCCGGAAGTGGCAATGTTGTGACTGCCAAAAGAAAATTAAAAAAATGAGAAAATAAGAGGAAAGAACTTACTTAAGAAACGATTGCCAAGACGCGATTCATTGTAATTTTTGAAATTCACTCAACTAGGTTTATGTCAATAATTTGAAGATGAATTCAGATGTTGAAAAGCACATAAAACAGAATCACCAGTGGCAAATTCTGCCAGCAAATGTAAAACAGGTAGGCCCACTACTTATATCGTTCACTCAGTTAATATCCACTTCAGAATATTTCTCAGACTCATTTTATTGGATTGATAAAGCTAATCATTAGCCTAAAGCTTTTATTTATTTTGACTTTGATTGATATTCATTCTGAAATACATTGCTGTCTATTTTTAGAGTACCCTATACAGTCAAGTAACCTAATTTCGTGCATGTAAGGATTCAACACAAAATTTCGCCAAAGTTAAAAAAAAACAGAATTTTTTGTTATGTCTTAGGTGTTTCCTCAGATATTCTACAAAATAATTAAAATTGACTTGTTTTGATTTTCTTTATGAATCCATCAGTTTGATCCATATTTCATGAGTAACCGACTTGACAACGGCAGCAAAATGCGTCACCTATTTTCGTGTACAGTGTTTGATCTATAAATAAGTCGAGAAAAACATGTTGTATGGATACCTATTGGTATGATTAACTTCTCTTAGTATTTATCTTTAATATCAATTCATTATAACTAGTGACAATTCCTTCTAAGAACCATTATTTAAAAAATAGTGACTGACAAAATAAAATACGAGCGTGATTTATTGCTAAAAGTCATTGAAACAACATAAGAATATGGCCCACTTTGTGTTCCATAGAATTTTTCTGCTGACACGGAATCCGCTAGTTGGTCACGTGACCTCATTCGTTGGACTACATTCTAGAAGACGCACTTGGAATTCTGATTACAGCTAGGGATTATAAGGAAATTCGGCCGATGAAATATTGTGACGTTTGTTAATTACTGAAATCCGCCATTTTGTATTTGTCAAAGTATACATTAATACATTTTACCTTGCTTGAAACTACTGGATTCATTCTACTAACTGACATTGTAGAGATAACCCATGTTTATCAAAACAAGCAATTGCAGAGGTCACGTGAGGTCGCAGAAGTAAATTATTAATCCTTTCTGGAAATGCACGAAAAATAGGTTAGCATGAAATAAGGTTACTTGATTGTACCTTATTATTGATAGCATTTCCGATTCCTGTAGTCTGAAATGTGGATTGAGAGTTCTGAAATTAAGTTTACTGAAGAGATGGCATACTGGTACCTAATTAAAACAGTGTCAAAGTCAAGTCCCTAGCTAAACTCCATCCCAGTCTTGCTATTTACAGGGAAATTTCTGCTAAAAATTTGTACCACCAATCGAATACTGCCCAAGACCTATAAATTTAATTCTTTGTGATTACATTGTACTGGGTGTACTAAGTCAGTTAAAAGAAAAGCTTTTTCAGGTGCCCCTCAAGTTGTTAAACCTTAGTATTCAGTATAAGACTTTAATATATTCAATCATATTTATTTATATCAGTTTTTGATTACAGTAAAGTCATTCAGTTCTTTCTATTCCTTAAACAGAGTTTAGGAAATTCAGCCAAAGAATATGATAAAGCTATTGTTAATTTTAGCGTCAAAAATCAACTTCGGTTTAAAGGAAATTTAAGTAAGTATAATGTTAAAGTAGTGAAAACAATTTAGTCTATATAAAATAATTTTTACTAGTTAAGTATTTTTTAAACATTTCAATATAGGAAAATAATGATCATTGATGTGTTAAGGAATTGTGCAACAGTTAAAGAGGCAAATAAAACTTATGTTGTACATATTAACATGTCAACAATCTACATTGTCATCATCAGGTGAAAATGTACAGCTTATTCATTTCTCCACTATGTTTATTATTTATTCATGCCTCAAACAAAATATTTCATGTGCTTTGAAATCTATTTTCTTGATTTTTCAGTTCGTCATTTATTGAAAGATGAAAGGAAATATTATGAGGATGTAGTGACATATAGCAGAGAACATCTGATGTTGTACCCATACCATCTAGCAGATGTCATTGTCAAAGGATTGAGGTTAACTCCCTTTGCTTACTATGTTAACATGATGCAAGATATAATGACTCAAGAAAAATCCTATGATTCTTTACCCAACTTTACAGCAGCTGATTGTAAGTTTTTTTATGAATCATTTTGAGTTTGAAATATTTTGTGGTGAAAGTGGGAGTACACTGATTTCCATGATCTATTTTGAAGAAATAAAATGGTATTTATTACATTACATTCATTGTAATGCTATATTTGCTAAGACAGCCATCAGTTAAAATGTATATATTTAGAGACACTTATTTATTTTATAGGTCTAAGATTATTAGGAATTGGTAGAAACCAATACATAGATCTGATGAATCAATGCCGCTCTTCCAAGGTGAGACTTTTTGATTTGAGGAATGGATTTTTCAGGCATAATATATTGAATAAGGCTTATTTAGATTAAGCTTGCTGTATTGTTGTTAAGATTTTGATATCTCATTTGGAAAGTTTTGTATTTCTGATGTTCCTATATTATTTTGCAGAAATTCTTCCGTAAGCGACCAGTTAGAGAGTTATTACCCTTGCAGCCAGTTGAGGGAGCCAGTGTAGAATCTTGGTGGATTGTCAATATTGGTTTTATAACAGAAGATGATATTAAGGTAATTTATTTTCCATTCTCATCAGGTGAAATTGAACTTGATGTTTCTGAACTAACTATGAATCACATTAGAAATGATTTTTTTTTTTGCCTGAATTATGTATTTCTTACAATTAATGTGATTTTAACCAAATATGACTGATATTTACCTTATGTATGGGTAGATTTTGTGCAAATTGTTCAAATTGACTTTTATCTTAAATGAGCCTTTCATCTCAAAGAGGGAAAATGTGCCAGCCTCACAATAATTAAGAATTGTTGAAGGTTTGCCATCCGTTTGACCAACTCACCATCGAAATTTGATCCTTCAAATCCATGTGCGTCAAGAATTATTTGTTATTGTAAGTTAAGGGAATAGATCATCTTAGAATGAACATAAATATTTTATTTCACTTGGCCAACTAAAGTGTACCTGTTCTGTAATGTATTCAGTCGATTTACCTGGTGTAAGTGCATGGAATTATGCGATAATGTGTCAGAAATGATGGTTTTGTTTCGTTACATCCACTGTACAGTAAATTACTGACACTTTGATTTAACATAGAAAGGATTTTATTTAGATGTGTAGTGTAGTAGAAAAAAGAGTCATAGATACCATAATAGATAGTGGTCCTCAACCAGCTGGAGATTTAGACAAGCATCTTGTTTTAGGTAAATATTCATAAATTCTGTTGATTGAAATTCTGTACTTGGTAGTCATGTTTTGATAACTTACTTTTGTCTTTTTGACATTTGTTTCATTTGAATAAACATGCTTTAGTCTTTGCCTTCAATTAAATGACAAAAATTAAGCACAATCTTTAAGTAATGGAAGTGATAATTTTGAACTGCATGGCCCTACTTCATTTATTAAGACGTCACTACAGATCTTTATATATTTGATTTGCTGATTTGACAGTATCATCCTGTTTTCTGTTTGACTTCGATTGAAAATCTTAAATATGTGCTGAAGAGAAATTAATATGTTTTATCAATATTAAAACACTATAAATCTTTTATAGGTCTATATCGTAAAGGATTAATATATCTTGATGTACCTATATCTGATGAGGATTGTATTAGTGTTCCACCACTAGAAGGTTTTGTAATGAATCGTGTATTGGGAGACTATATTGAAACATTACTGTACAAAATATTTGTTTCCATTGATGAACATACTTCTGTGGCTGAGGTAAATTCATTTTTTAACTTTTTCTTCCATGTTTTTATAGTCAGTCACAAGTTCAAATTAAAGAGTATTAGATAATTGAAATTGTTTCATGGCAGATATTACAAATCTTCTAAAAGGTCATAACAGAAAAAGACAATTAAGCTTTATCTTGATTATTACACTTGAGAAAAGACTATCAGTCCTAAATATGTCTATATTCAGCTGTGCTCAGTTTTTAACAGTTGAATGCATCTGGCCTTTGTTTCTAGAAAAACTTTCACAATAATAATTGGTTGTGGAATATTACATAGAGAAAAAGCACACTTGTAAAAAGAATGGATCAAGAGATTTTTGGAAAAACAAAGACAATTTCAATAAATATATTTTAATAGCCAGTAGAGCTGGTAGATTTGGTCGTTGAATTATTAGTGACCTGGAACAGTAATACCTAGATGTTCTAGAGTCTGAACAAAGGAAAATACAGTGTCAGCCATCCACTGCACTGAATGTCAATAAACTAATGATAGTTAATTCTGTACTTTTATTACAGTTATCATCAGTTTTACAAATTGATCTACAATTAGTCAAGGTAAAATACTTCTTTTTGTAATATTTCTATTATTTTGAAAGTCTAATTTTGACAGCATTTATCTCAGATTCTATATTCTCATTATGTGTGAATCTTAATTGACTCTCCCTGCCTTCTAGATTTTTTTTATAAATCAAGTATTCCAAGAAATTGAAGTAATAACAAAGAAAGTATCTTTATGTTTATATAAAGGGGCTCTTTCTGTTACATTCTTATTGTCTTATGATGTTTTAAAACTTTTGTAGAACGCTGTGTCCATGTATTGTCGACTAGGTTTTGCTAAAAAGAAAGGTGTTGAATTAACAGATGATTTGCACCCCACTTGGCTACATGTTCAAACCAAACATACAAAACCTTTAGATGTTAAAAAGTAAGATTCTATTTCAAATCATGACACGCCAATATCCAGATATCAATTTCCAATCCTGATCCTGATGCTAGATTTAATATCTTATTAATCTTATTTCGTGGACTATACATTCTGTTGGTATCATGGTGCTATAAGTTCTATTGAGTGTAATTACACCAAGGTTATCAGCATATTAGTCAAGATGCAACACAAGCAAAATGTTGTTTACTTTTACAAGATCACAAAACAGATTTTAACAATTTGATTGGAATCTGACATTTGTTTATTCTATTAATGCTGAAATTATAAGTGTTTTTAAATGACTGTATTAAAGTTGGTTCCAAAAGTTTTCATGCTTTCCTCTTTCGAGTTTTGATTTGGTTGTGGCTTTCAGAAATCGAGAAGAGAAGTTATTAATAGATTTAAGCAGTGCCTTGAATGTAGACTTGGGTGACCAGCCTGAAGCTACTCCACACAATAGTAATAATAATTCTGAACAAGAAACAGCTGCAATGGCCTTAGAGTTGGGTAAGATTCTTCATTTATTTGACACTTTAGAATTATATATATATTTATGATTTTCTATTTTAAAATTGTATGATATTTATTTTACTGAACTTCAATGAATATATATTGTGACGCTGGCATATCACTCAGCTCCAAATATTATTATGTAAATGAATGTATATCTGAATGGATGTTTAATTTTCTGGTAGAATAGAAATAACAAAAATAAGTATAAAATCGTGATGTTACAAAAGTCTTCAAATGGAAACTGTCTGCTATCAATTGTTCCTCATTTTTTGTCACACCCAGGAGGTTCTTTCCTATGTCATCATTGAAAGAAATGTCATCAAAAACAGTAATCTTGTCATACGACTAGGTGACTGATATTGAGACAAATTTGGTAGTTATTTTGTTCTAGTTCCTAGGTTTTCAAAAATTGCAAAATGCAGAAATCATTAAGGAACATATTTGTTTGAATTGAATGAATGAAAATGCCCTTTTTGTGGAAAATAGCAAATATCACACAGTTTATGCCAAGAATAAATGAAAATAAGAATTATCTGTGATATTTCCAATAGTTTTTTACATTTTGTTATTCCTAAACACTATTTCAGATGTAGTGGGTACTACTAGTGGTGGAAGTAAAAGAATAGCTTTCCTGTTTGATTCAACTTTAACAGCTTTTTTAATGATGGGAAACCTCTCACCAGTACGTGCAGATTGTTTTACCAAATATTTTAATACTATTGTAAAAGGAAAATGTTTTTTGAATGTAAATGTAAATAGTTTCAGGATACTTATATCCACATTTCACTCATTCAAAATCCTATAGAATCTTGTTATAGAAAAAATTCAATTTGTTTTTTGCTTTGTTGCAATTTACATCTGATCTACTTGATCAATCTGAATTTGTTTTAAAGGGTTAAGTACAAAAGGAATGTACCAAAACTGTCACCTCTGAAAAAACAGAATGTTCCTTTAATGGCATTGTGGTCATATATTATCATTTCTCCCATCTGTTTATCTGTTCGCATTATGAACATGAGTTTACAATGTATCTTTATTTTAACCTGTCTTATGCTTTTCATAAAAAGGGTTTAAAAAGTCATGCAGTAACAATGTTTGAAGTTGGTAAATTAAGTGATGAATCCATGGACAGTTTCCTATCAGAATTAGAAAAGGTACCCCTTCTTTTTCAGTTTGAATAAAAGTATGTTCTACCTTTGGTGTATGACATGTATGAATAATGAATATTAGGGCCATTCAATTTTTTTTTTTTTTGGAATTTTCAAGCTAGTATGTTGAATTTTCAAGTTAGTAACTTGAATTTTCAACATACTAACTTGAAAATTCAACATACTAACACATACTAGCTTGAAAATTCAACATACTAACTTGAAAATTCAACATACTAACTTGAAAATTCAACATACTTATTTCAACATACTAACTTGAAAATTCAACATACTAACACATACTAGCTTGAAAATTCAACATACTAACTTGAAAATTCAACATACTAGCTTGAAAATTTAACATATTAGTTTGAAAATTCAAGTTACTAACTTGAAAATTCAACATACTAACTTGAAAATTCAACATACTAACTTCAACAAACAAACTTGAAAATTCAACATACTATCTTGAAAATTCAAGTTACTTACTTGAAAATTCAACTTACTAACTTGAAAATTCAACTTACTAACTTGAAAATTCAAGATACTAACTTGAAAATTCAACATACTAACTTGATACTAACTTGAAAATTCAACATACTAACTTGAAAAATTCAACATACTAGCTTGAAAATTCAACATACTAGCTTGAAAATTCAAGATGCTAGCTTGAAAATTCAAGATACTAACTTGAAAATTCAACATACTAACTTGAAAATTCAAAAAAAAAAAATACACTTCCGTATATAACCCATTAAATATGTTGAAAATATTTTTCACAAAGATTCATATAATTTGACTGTAATTGTAGGTATGAAAGGCTGGCTATTTTAATTAGTGTGTACTGAGAGAAATTTGTGCTACTGAAGACAGGCTACTTCATGCAGTGTGATATAGAGGAAATTCAGATTGGACAATAAGATCTCATGTGCAAAATGAAAAGTTTTATTTAGGTAGGCTTATTGAAGAATATAAAAATGTAGTGCATAAATGTTTTGTATATTTTATAGGTTGGATCTGATGCTGAAGGAGAAGCTAGAAGATATTTTGATCATGCCTTAACATTACGTGATACAATACGTTTTTTACGTCACAATAAAATGCTATGTGCTGATTTAGACAACACTACTAATAGTGGTTTGGGAATAGATTTAATTCGTTGTGAAAGTATGTTAAGTTTAGATCCAGCCACCAGATCTAGAGTCTTTAATAAGAACTACAGGTAATTATAATAATTGATGATAATTTGGCCTGCTGTAGATAAAGAGACAGTTATTATGCATGTAAGGTCACCAAACAGGAGCAATTAGACTATAGAATGAAGATACTTGACTTATGCCATATGATTTAATTTTATTATGTACATTGTAGTTTATTAGTGTCTATGGCACCACTAAGTAATGAGATACGTCCAGTGAGTAGTTCTATACCACCTCATATAGGACCTGCTATTCCAGAGGTTTGTATCATATTACATATGAGATAATAAGTTTCAGTTATCTCCCATTTATACAGTTTCTGATTCTCTCACAAAGTTCTAGAATTATTAAGCAAGCAATGTTTATATTATTGCATTTGATAGAAGTATTGTGCAAGCTTAGCATAAGTTTATCAGAGTTATGAATAGTGCAGACTGAAGCTCTACAATGTCAGTGAGTATTTACTAAGCACAATAATATTATTGATAAATTTGATTCAATTAGTACAGAAGAATCAACAAGAGTGTTTCCCTCTTGAAACAATACACAGCATGATCAGAGTAATGCATAATATGTCCTTGTGATTTTGAAGGAATCTCATTCTGTTGCATTTCGTTTCGTTTATTATTGTTTTCTAAAAAACTGGGTCCCAACAAAAGAAAATTGCGATGCTTTTGTTAGAATCCAAATCCATACAGTTTTATACCATCTGTAGTAGATTTCATTCCTTAATTGTGGTTAAAATTATGATTAAAATTGTAATTACAGGTTAACTCTGTATGGTTTAAATTATATTTATATACTCTCACAAATTGTGGACCACCATCTTTGTTATTAGTTAAAGGGACCAAACTAAGACGATTACCACCAGTTTTCCAGGCAAGTTACTTTATAACTGAGATTGTTTGTCATTGAAGTGAGATGGAGTTTAACATCCTATTTTTGCACACTGGACAATGCAATGTTAAAACAGTAAAATAAGCCTTTCCATTATTGAAGTGAAAAGTTTTTTGATATTAAAATAATTTCAGATTTTGAAATGGAAAATGTTAGGGAATGCCTTTTATGTTTGGAAATTTGGATGTATATTGATGTCACCCCTCTCCGTCAGTCAAATGATCTATCAGTGTGTCCGTCCATCCAGCACCCACAATACAGATTAGTCTTCATCTAATCTTGATGAAACTTGGTAATAATTGGATAGACGGTTTTGGTGTTATTCCCTTGACATTATAAAAAAGCGACAAACTTGGCTTGTAGGCACAATTGAGGCTACAGTTTTATCTGATCTTAATGAAACCTGATAAGCATGCGTACGCTGATTAGATCTTGGACAAGTTTGAACTTTGTTACAATTGGATTAACACTTTCGAAGTAAAATTCCTTGACTTCATCATTATGAAACTAGGTATGCATTTATTAATTGTCAAGTTTCTTATTTCTAGGTTATAGTCAAAATACTAAAAAAAACACTCTAAAATTCGTCTCTAAAGTTTCCTATTATTAAATTTCTATAACTGTTAAATAATAATAACTCACATTATACTGTCTAATTCAAAACTTTATATACAATTTTTTTTAAGAAACTATCATAGCTTTGTGTTTTTTTTTAGTTTTTTCTATTATCAAAGATAAATAAATTATATTTAAATATTTGACATTTGGCCTATATGGTTGCAAATAAGACACACTCTCTGGGGCCAACACTGTTTCAAGGTTTAATTTACATATTAAATTCTGGTTTAGGATAAAGGGATAGCGCCATTTTGGGGGTTGATTTGAGTTTTGAAAATATGTAAATAATCTTCAGAAATACTAGAAATGTACGAAGATGGCATAATACCTTCAAAAATATCTCAAACTAGGAATTTTACTCACTATTTCTATATATAACCGAGTTTCTAAAAATAACGAGTCGTGATTTTAGTATTCAAATAAGGATAATTCTGACCACACATGGATTTGAAGGCCCAAATTTCGACTGTGAACGCTATTACTGATTGGCTTAGCTAAAAAAAATTCCTGTTTCTGAGACTAAAGTATGATTGGTCAAAAAGAATGGCACACCAGTCCCTTTAAAGAATAAGAAAACATAAGAGTATTATGCTATGCTATGCATCAAGATATTCATTTAGGTGTGATAGTATTTGATTCATTAGTCATAAAATTATAGAGCTTTGTAACAGCTATCTGTAAAGAAGTCTAAATATTTATTTATTAATCTATTAATATAGATCAATATCAGCTATCTGTCTAATCTTCTAAACATAAGCTTTACCAGCTGGTATAACTAAATATCAGATATGAAATGGGGGGCGTGTATTGGTGTCACCCATGTCTGTCCTTTCACAATTGCTCGTAAACACTCTAGAAAAAGTATGGAAATTCCACATCCTACTTTAGAACATAAATATATAATTATTATCAATATTAGTTATGACATTTTTATGTGCCCTGGAAGTAATAGCTCTTGGTGAAACTGACAGTACATTTCTGATAGATTGCAGGACAACCAAACATTTAATTTCAATTTAAAAATAAAAAAAATAGGATATTTAGAGAGATTTTGTAGAGTCGACTGTATATTGAAATTTGGATCCTCTGATTCTTCAAGAGGGTGAAGGATTTGTCTATTTCTATTGAAATATATCTCTGAGAAATCAGTTTACCAACAGCTAAGATACTATCTATTTGGGAAATTTTTTTGGAACACTCGATGTATCAATAAATTCAAATGCATTATGAAGAGAGAAAATCCATATTTTAGTCTCTAATCATTCTGTTATCATTTCTGACAGCTGCCGGTGCCGTATGTTATCTTACCTGGAAGCTATCTTTTCTCTTAATGTACATGTACTCCTATAGTTTATACAATACTAGCGTACTATAAGAAAAGGCTAACATCTAAACACTTTTTTTTGTAGAATTATGAAAGATTACTGGTGACAACATGGGGTCACGACCCTGGTGTAATATCAACAAGTAATATCTTATTAACTTTAAATGATGCCCTCTCACATTCTGCAGTCTTTGTTCAGGTAAGGGATTTGAATATTAATCACTGGCAAGTGTTTTTAGGTAATTGGTAGCCCAACTGTACTCCTATAAGTCAGTGGTCAAGTCAGTTCATATGGGTTTTAGTAATGCATGTTTGAGGACATTAAGTCATTTTGACTGGAAAACATGACTAAAACTCCATTCATAACTAAAAAGAGTCAGTTGACAACACTCACTTTTATACGCCCTCAAATATACTTAGGTGTATATTGTAATCACCCTGGCGGTCCTTCGATTCGTCGTCCATTCTTATTTGGCTCGTGCTCACTGTAAGGCAACAATTCATTATGGATTCTTTTGATTTCTTTTGGGTCAATGTCATTATGAAGATGAACCCTATCGACTTTTGTGACTGATAATTTTTCATCAAAATATTGTGCCCGACTCGGCGTTTTCACTCTATTAGCTATATTGTGCAACTCATGCTCACTCTACGGGCAACAATTCTTTATGGATTATTTTGATTTTTGTATGCCCACACATAGTATGGACTTAACCTATCTTCACCTTGTATGTCAGTCTGTCCATTCACATTTGACCTGCATACACATTTCTTGATGTATTCTTTTGAGTTTTGTTTGTTTGTAAATATATCCAATTTCGTCATAAGATTGATATTTGGGTAAAGAATTTTTCAATATTCACAATTCTTTATCTTTGAGATATATACAAAATCTAAGTAATGATAAAATTGCATTAAACAATAATACATGCAACAAGATATTTTTGCACAATCTACTGTCTATTTGCAAGAATCAAGACATGCAATACAATGAAGTTTGCTTCTAAATTCTTTAATAGACCAAACATGAACCAAATCTGAATGGACAACAAACAATGATTTGTACTTGCAATTAAAGCTGCTAGTGTCACTGCCATCTTTCATTTCAGGGTCATGGGTACCAAGAAGATGGAGAAATAGTGCAAGTACCATTCCCATTTACTAAAACTGATACAGGTATGTGTTGTGTAGTTAAGTTGTTACTTGCTCACAATTAGACGTGTGTTGTCATAGATTATTGATGTTGTACAGGTTGAATGGATAGATGGAATAGTTATGAAGAAAAGATCAGTGAACTAAACATTATGCCGGCATAGATACAATATTGCTCTTAAACCTTTAGAAATTTCATCATTTTCTTTATCTGAAAATTCAATTGATAGTTTAAACTAGGAAAATGGTTAATACCCTAGACATAAGCTAATAAGGCTAAAATCACAGAGGCTATACATTTTTTTGAAGCAAAGTAAAGCTTTTGAATATTGCCATTTTTCCTAGGATCTCTATACTAAGGAATATTCATACAAACATGACATACCAGTACTTCTGCTGTGATTATCCAAAGCTGCTACATATAATAATGACCAATGTCAGTAATTAAATGGTTATAACATAGTATTCATGATCACTTTGATTCTATGATCAATAATGATGTAATGTAATAAATGAAATGATATGCAGTTTTATGTGCCACTGTTCAGTAAGTAGTAATAATATAGTGTATAATTCAAATATATGATTTTGTTTTTCAGGACCATTTAGTCAAGGTCACCACCAATCGCACAAAACCATTCAACAATTAACAACATTGTTAGATTTAGTTTACTCTTGTGGTTACATTACATTATTAACCACAGGTCATAGTTCAAAAGGACAAAGGTCAAATAATGACAATGGAACTCATTCAAACATTGACCAATTTGTAATGAGTACATCATGCGATCAAGATAAACCATCCAATGGGATTAAAGACGCTGAATCTGCTCAAGTTTTAGCTTCAGAACTTGATTCATTGGACTTGGACACTACCTCCCCTGAATCGAAAACAAAAGAAAATTTAACTTTAGATTTAGATAGTGATCGAAGTAAAAAGTCCTGTGAATATTTAGAGGAAAGTGAGTGGCTGATATTAGATTGTGTGTTTGGAATACCATTGTTTGATACCAAGTTAAATAATGAAGTTTGTCAGCGTGTTTCTAATAATGGACTCTTTAAAAAAGATAGGTATGTTTTCTCTCATTCTCAACTAGTTACATGGGTTCAATAGGCAATAGGTTCAGTGGACTTAAAATACACATTATGGGGTGAAAATAAATCAAATTACCATCGTAATTGGGGAATTAATTAATCAGGCAATGATAATATTATTACATGATGAGATTAATGCGTGTTACCGACAATCACGATACAAGTAATGATAGATATTTTGTTGATTTATGGTGGAAAATTTGGACGTTGAAAACGGTAGGTCCCGTGAAAATTTGTAGAATTGGGTATCCTGTCAGTAGAGCGGTAGACAACATTAAAAAGCGGTAGAAACCTGACAACATCGGTAGATTAAACATGTATGTCTACATTGTATAAAACTACATAATCTTTATAATATAACTTTGCCTAATTTTGACTCATTCTGAGATACCAGCATTGCTTCAGTTAATCTCTTTCTCATTTCAGTTTAGAAAAGTTACTAGAATCAAGTCGATTGATTTCTTTGAAGTTGTTGGATTTTATAGCTCAGTGGCAGGTAAGTGAAACGACCAGGTTTTTATTATTACTTAGCCTCGAATATAGACCTATGCACCTCCATTATTTAAGGTTGATGTTCTAGACCTGGCAGCTCACCAAAATCAGCTTTATAGCTCACACAGATGAACAAATAGTGGCAATTAAATATAATTAGTGATCTGATCTGGAAATTGAACAAATGAACAAATTGTTCTTTGTCCTAGCAGTATTTATATAATTTAGGAATAAAACAAGATATCCAAATTGTAATTGAACTTCTGATTTGCAACAAATATACAGTTTAGGATCATAACCAAAAAACCAAGTTTACTTAGTGCTTGTTAAATAATAATTCCTATAATTTGCCTTACTAAGTTCCTGTATTATCAATAAATGTATATGTAATTTATTTCAGGATGAAAGTATAGTACATGAGCTCGAGTCTTCTGGTGTACCTCAAGATAAAGATGAACATTGCTCTCTCTATCCTACTTTTAATCTGTTATATAGTGATGGTCATTTACAACACTGGATGGGACATTGACTGACTCACTGACAGACTCCTTAACCTCATAATAATGTACATAGTAAAATCAACTTTATTATATGGTAATATCATTATTGTCATGTATACCATAAGATACTTGTTTCTATACAATAATAAACAGCTGATGCAGTTCTGATACATTAAAGGCGATGATGCTTACAATGGGGAAAAAAAAAACAACCCACTGTTATGTAATATTGATACATGGACAGCAGGAAATCTGTAAATGTAGGCTAGCATTGAATTACTCCATCCATGACTTATCTTTCAAAAAGCAGCATGAAATTAAGGCCCAAATTGAATAGGACACCACAACTCTCAGTTTCTATACTTTTAGATGGAAATCAATGTAATTTGGAAAATTGGACATACCTACATTGTTTCTAGTTAGTTAAAAAATTTCTGACTGATCTAAGGTGCACTTACTCATTGGATATATCAAAACCAAAAAAGAGGGAATTTGGAATATGTTATTTTTGTGCAATCTGTTCATAATCTTGATTGGATTCAATCACTGATATGATTCAACTAAAGTTGTTATTGATAGATAAATGTAAGAAATGCATTTTCAAATATTAGTTAGTATGGATTCCAATGTGACAAGCATTTAAATAAAAAGCCAAACCTAAATAAAATAACCTTAACAGTATGCAGAGAACCCAGACGTGTTTGATTTTGTGAAGTTTTTCAAGCAAATTACTAAAGTAAAAGAATCTTTAAATTGAATCAAATCAGTTTTTAATCCAATTTGTTGTTGAGTTTGAATGATTTTATGATATTGTTATGATTTAAATTATTTTATTGTGAATGTAAATACCAATAAACTTAATTAATGACTATGGTATTATTCATTCTCAAAATACCAATAGCTAGCCTATTAACTTTCCATTTCAGTGGGCAAATTGATTGTAACTAAACTGAAAGTTTGGCCAAATTATTGAAGCAATTTTACAGTTTAACAAAATTATTGATACCTGATGAATATGACCAAACTAATATTAGCCAACCATGTTATTTTTGGGTCTAACTAATGTGCCTCCACATTTGAGTCTACCCCATTTGACTGACCACTTTTTTTACGCCCACATGAAATGAGGGACGTATATTGTCGTCACCCATGTCCATCTGTCCACAATTGCTCGTAAACACTCTACAAGGCACAATTCTTGACTGATTTTGACGAAACTCGGCATGGTTGTTTGTAATCACCCAAGGATGAAACCTAATAAAAATCAGAAAAATTGAAAAATATTTACTATGATTTATTGCCCTTGTCCTTGAAAACGCTTTCAATTTTTAGCTCCTAAACACTCTAGAAGGGACAATTCTTGACGGATTTTGATGAAAAATAGAATGTTCGTAATCACTCAAGGATAAACCCTATTGAAAATCAGAAGAATCTAAAAATATATAGTATGAGTTATTGCCCTTGTTCTTCAAAACTCGTTCAATTTTTACCTCATAAACACTCTTGAAGGCACAATTCTTGACGGATTTTGACGAAACTTTGTGAAATAGTTTATTATCACCCATGGATAAACCCTATCGAAAATCAATAAAAAAGAGAAGTGCTTCGTAGGTGATTTTGACCTTGTTCTTGAAAACGCTTTCAAATTTAGCTCTTTAAACACTAAAAGGCATGATTCTTGCCGGATTTTGACAACACTTGGTGTTGAATATTTGCCTTCTTGCCTTTCACAAGCTAAAAATTGAGCACGTTTTCAAGAACAGGGGCAATGACTCATACTCAATATTATTCAGTATCGCCCTAAAAAGTTCAACTGAAGGTTGAATATTTCATACTGGTGAATGTTACTGTGCTGCACAATATTTTTATTCAAAATCAAAGCTGCCAGTGGGCGTATATTACCTTGCCTGGCAAGCTATCTTTATGTGACCAAATGCATATGTTTTTTCAATACAATCGCTGTTCTATCTGCATTCTCTTTCAATGTATTTTCTAGTGCTTGATCACACGAAATAGTCAAGCAGCAAAAAAGTAGAGTGTGTCTCCAAAAATGTAAAGCTGCCTGATAAAAATCGCATCGCATCGCATCCATCGCAATATATTCATCCACTTTCATTTCCCTATTGAGACCACCAGTTCATACCGCACAACATTACCCTGTCTTCCCCGTTTACAATCAACAAACAGTACATCAATTTAACCGCCCTGGCCATCAGTGTTTTCGTCCGGTCCAGAACCCAGCACACCGCACCAAATACAGTCTTCTACTGAATCCTGTCTGAAATTTGTATCCTTTACATGCAAAAAAATCAAACCCAGCGCCTACACTGTCAACAAACTCCTGCATAGATACGACTTCATCCTCCTCCAAGAACACTGGCTCTTCCAATGCAACATCCATCTTTTAGGCGAAACATGTTCATCTGCTCACTATGTTTGAAAAGGCTCTGACATCCTTAACCCCATCCCAACTACCCAGAGGATACGGAGGTGTAGTCTTATGGGACGACAAACACGACCAATATGTATCCCTAGAGGACGGTAATGAACGCATACAATGTATGTATTCATCTACCTAACAATCCAAAACAACTGATTATGTCTGTCTACCTACCCTCAAAGGGAAAATCTACCCTTCTTAATGAATTCAAGGACTGCATTGACATTCTCAACGAAATATGCATCAAATACCAGCCTTTCCATGAACTTATCCTGAAAGGCGATCTCAACGAAGACCTCAACCAAGCTCCCCCACAATTTAGTAGATTCCATTACCTAAAATACTTTCTTAACTCTCACCATCTGCTCCATGAAACAGTTGGAAAAACCTACATCAATTCCAAAGGTTAAGATTGCTCCGAAATTGGCTACTTATTAACAAACACGTCTCATTAAATTACCAACAGACTGATCCTTCACGGCTATTATCAGACCACCACCCAATATCAATTACCATAAACATCAACCATTCTCCGGTAAAACGACTAGAAAATCAAAAGTACCAAAACCACATGTCCTCAACACTAAAAGACTGCCCCCTCCCAATAAAAACACAGAGGAAACGGTCACCTACTGAACTAACTAAATAAAAAGATCAGCTAATCTCTGTACGATCAAGAAGAAGTCATTTAACTCAAACCCAAAACAACAAGTGTGGAATCATAGCATATTTAATGCACTAAAACATTTTAAAAAACTGGTACCAAAGAGTGGATTTGTAACGGTAAAACCAAAGGATGCAGAGAACCATTTCGTCTATCACAAGAAAAATTTAGGTCGGACGTCAGAAAAGAAGTAGTCTGACGCGAACAAAGAGAAAAAGAGAAAATTATGGATACTAAATTCCGCGACCTGAAACTATCCCAAAAACTAATAAATGAACAAAAAAACAGCACCAAATTAGTCAGCAATAATGAGCTCAACGTCTGTGGGGAAAAGTACGCTGGTCCACAAAATGCCTTACTTGGTTTTAGTGAAAGTGATTGTAAAATCAAAATGTAAATCACTTAACGAAAGCAACACAAATTACAGTTATGCGCAGAAAAAAGTGGCAAAAAATTTATACATGTATAATGTATATAATGTATATAAGGTACTTATATAAAACAAAAAGATACATTGAAATTAATGTGAAACATGTTTTATTTTTCTGTAACCAACATCTGAAAAGTGAAAAAATGATAATTATACATATATATTGTTATAGGATGTTTAGGATTCCTGTCAAATGTCTTTCTTACAGCGCGGAGACCAGAAACATTATCTATCATGTCCATATCATGTGAATATCAAGGGAAGTAAGAGTAGAATTAGGTAGAGGTGAAGTAGGCTAACTGGGGCGGATTTAACGAGGTGGATGGAGTTGATAAAGGGCTATCTGAGGATGGCTATGACATGATGAAAAGAATTTTGATGAAGACGTTGTCTGAGGTGGAGTTGATGATATTGATGGAGATAATGACGGGGGATTTGATGAAAGGGCTGTCTGAGGAGGAATTGACGATGTGGATGGAGATGATAAAGGGAGTTTTGTTGAAGAAGGGGGGAAATTGGTCATAGTTGGTTTGATTAATCTGTCAAGTTCTTCTAATTTAAAATTGAATGGATGGTTTGGTTTTCGGTAGTTATGCTGATGTCGATTGTCCATTCTACGGTTGGTGTAATATCGTTGCTGTTGATGGAGATACTTTGGATGGGGATGAGCATAGTGACGATAAGTTGGAAGAGGTTGATATTGATATCCCCAGTCATATGGATTGGGTGTGCGTATGTCCATAAGCAGCCTTTGGCGGGAAGGGTTGCGATGGCGACAGTTTGCCATGATGTAATAAAAACTAGTAATGAAAAAATCAGATACAAACGTGATATACAAGTTGGCTGCACAAGATAATTAAGGATAAATATTAATAAGGATGGTGGAAGGTAGGGAGGGAGCAATACGTTATTCGACACAGGGTGTCTTCATCAGGCTTAAATGTTGGTTTAGAACACGTTTTTCTATATTTAATAATTCTTATCAAAAAGCCATGGTTCTTTTTATATCACTTAAAATTGATGTTGATTTTGACACAATTAAACATTGAAAGAAACATGTGTTTGCTGTAGGAAACCCAATTAAACAAATTGTTGACACATTTTGTGAATCGTTGTCAGAAGTAGTAGTGTACAGATTGTACAGTACTTTTGAGGGGTTCATCAATCAGCCGAACAGGATTCGGGAATAAAGAGTCAGTAGATTAGAACAAATAATTTTCATCCATAATAATATTCAAAATACACCATACAGTATGAATCTATTTTGTCGTGACAGCCATCACATAGACAAATTCTAATAATAGTTCCAAACAGTTCCAATAAGTAGTAATAATAGTAATAGTAGTAATAGTAGTAGTAATAGTAGGTTTCCAAGTGTTTGGTACCAAACCTGACACAAACACGTCCAAGCAAAGTCCAAATTTACATCAAAAATAAAATTCCGACAGCCATGCCGTTTCTTTTACAAAAACAACGTACCCACAAAATTAGCGAC